AATGGAGTATTAGGCAGCCATAAAAAAAGAAACAGATCCTGCTATTTGTGATAACATGGATGGACTCAGAGGGTATTATGCTAAGAGAAACAAGCCAGGCAGAGAAAGGCAAATACCATATGATTTCAGTTATTTGTGGAATATAAAGACAAAGGAAAACAGAATGAACAAAATAGCAGAAGGCTCATACACACTGAGAAGTAACTGGTGGTTACTGCTGGGGAGGGGCTGGGGTTGGTGGGTGGAGAGGGGGAGGGGATAAAAGGGCACAAAAATTCTCAATCATAATATAAGTTGGTCACAGGGATGGTAGCACAGCATGGAGAATATAGCCAATGATTTTGTAACATCTTCCTATGCTGACAGGTGTAACTGCACTAATGGGAGTGAGGATTTAATGATGTGGGTAACTGCTGAACGACTGTGTTGTATACCTGAAACCAATGTAAGATTGCATATCAACTATATTTCAATGAAAAAAAATGCGTCTTTCTTTTTGATCCACACTTTGAACGGTTTCTAAATGAGCAGGCAGATTTTCGTCAGTGCTTTAATTTCTGAGTATCCTTGGTTATGTTCCCTCTCTCATTCCGACACCTATCATAAACTGGTAACCGTTTTCTCTCCAATTTTGAATGGAAAGATTACTTAACTTGTCAGTTGTCTATTGGCTAACAGAGCTACTTTTGGTGTCGGGAAAATGTACAACCTAGAAAATTATGTTCCTGTTAGAAGCTTGCAATTTTAAAATGTTCACCAGTACAAAATCCAAGGAAGATTGCATTGGATCTCTTAACATCTGCTTAATATCATTCCTCTTCATCTCTTAAAGAAGCACACAAGTTAATGGGCAGATGAAAAGGCAGAGAAGAAAGTATTGTTTTAGGACTGGGGCCAAGGTTTCAATGAGGACAAGAGAGTGTTGGTGAGGATATCAAGGTTATAAGGAAGTTTACCCACTGAACAGTAACAAAAAAGTGAAGAGTTTACATATTTTTCAATCCATTTGCCAATGTCATATTGGCCACAAAGTTATATAAAAACACATATTCCCTTCTTAGGAGTCAAACTAATTACTGTGAGATAGATTTGTTTGTTAATATCCAATTTTCTTAAACTGCTAAGCCATTAAAACTTGTATACTCAGCTAACCTACCAATGAAACCTGGAAAAATACATGTACAAGAACTTTGATATCCCTCTTTATATTTAAGATCCATGTAGGCACAGCTAATTTGGCTAGTTTACTGAAAAGGATCAGAGACTAAACAAGGGGTTTTAAACTGTGCTGTAAGCTTCCATATTTTATTTCCAAGTTGTTTTCTACAGTTAGTGAGGGCCTATTTATAAAGTACAAGGAAAAAGTCTGAAAGCAATGCACAGAATACAAAATTTTTCATTTTGTATTTCTTTTTCACAGTAGGCTATCTCACAATCAACCTTTGACCCATGCAATTTAAGGCCTGTTTGTAGTCAGTATAAATCCTTGAACAAAGAGACGTGACTTACTCCTCTGTAACTTGCCAGAGTATTTTATGCAGGTAGTTGTGCCCAAGGAGAGCTCATTAAAAATGATTTGGCTATAGGAACAGTGGTCCTGGGTCTCAAGAGATTCTTACATCCTACTAGACACTGAGCACTGTTCTGAAAATGAAGAAAACAAACTCCTTTTCTTAAGGAATACACGGTTCAGAAAAGGTAAATGGAAAGTGAAGCTGTTTGAGCAGACCATTGTGGCAGTCCTCATCCCTGAACCCTAATATTTATTTTTAAATGTTGAATGTTTCTGGTGTTTGTTCTTCATTTTTCTGCTTGGCCAGAAATAGAAATCCACTATAACACACTCCTCTTCTGAAAATTAACTTTAAATGCTCAGATTTAGCAAGGAATTTAGAGCTCACTTTTTTAAGTTGTATGGCCTTTGCTATTCCTTTAACAACATGCCTACTATGTGCCACCCACTGCTGCTGGACCCAGCACTGGTAATCTGACTGAACAATACTGGAATTCATGCCTTCGTGGAACTATATTCAGGATGTTGGTATCTTCCTCAAAAAAATACTACATACCAAGCTCAGTGCCATGGAAGAATTTAAGGTTTTGATAAAAAATAACAGGAGAAAAGAGGGAAGTGGGAACCGACAAGGTGCCAACCAGGAGGCAAAGTGTTCCAGGCAGAGTGAACAACAAAGGAAAAAGCCCAATGGTGGGAAAGTTTCATGTATTTAGGGATTTGGGAAAAGGCTTCCCTGACGATGGAGCAGAGAGTATGAGGAAGCGGGGAGCGTGGACTGAGCTTATTTTCTGAGTGCTGGACATCATGCTAAGTACTTTACTGGACACTCTTATGTAATCACTACCAGAAACCAATGAAGTTAGAGATCCCAGCATTTTCAAAATGAAATAAAAAAGCACATAAAAGTTTAAGAAACTTGTTCAAAATCACATAGGAAGTGGTGGAGCTTTGATTCAATTCCATGCAGCATGAATCCAAAGCCCACATTTTAAACTCAACCTTACGGCCAAAGTTAGGAAGGTAAGCAGTAGACAAATCACATGGGGCTACACATGCCAAAGGAAGGAGCACGAATTTTAATGCCCTGGGAAGCCATTGAAAGGTTTAAGCAAAACAGTGACATTATCTGATTTACTTCTGCTACTGTGGCTGCTGTGTGGAGGCCACAAGGAGGGTGGGGAGGAGTTAGATGGGTCAAAGAAAGGAAACCAGTAAGTATCCAGGAGAGAAATGATGGTGGTCTGGACTAGAAGTGGACAGATTTAAGATCAATTGTGGGACAGACAAATTAGACTTGCCAATGATCTGAACACACACAACAAGAAAAAAGTAAAAGTCTAGGATACCTTCCAGGTTTCTGACTTTAGCAACAAATGAATCATGATGGGTAATAATGAAACGGTGCAGAATAAGACTAATCTGGGAAGTAAAAGTAAATTCATTCAATTATTCGACAAATCTTTATTAAACATCTTTGTGAGGATACTGCAGAGTACAAAGCTCATCAAAGTCTTACCCTCATACAGCTTACATCATTGGAATGGGGGACAAATTGATATGTATACTATGCGATGGTGGTGAGTGCTATGGGAGACAATAGAGCACATTAAGTGGCAAAGGAGGTTACCATTTTCACTGAATGGTCAGAAAGAATTTCTCTAATGTGTGAGCAGAGGCCTAAAGGAAGCAAAGGGAGGAGCTGTGAAGATTTCTGGGAGAAGAGTTCCTGGTAGTCAGAATAAGACTGCAATGGCTTTGAAGCAGAAGTACTCTGGGTTTGTTTGCAGATGGGCAAGGGGACCAGGATGGTACGGTAGAAAAGATAAGGGAACAATAACAGAAGAACAGAGGAGGAACTTTGGTTAAAGACTCTGGCTTTTTTTATTTTGGGAAAAACAGAAAACCCTGGAAGACCTAAACAGATGCATGGAGGGTTACACTGGCTGCAATATGGAAATTATACTCTGAGGGAGCAAGGGTGGAAAGCAGAGACTCAAGACAATAATAGCCAGGTGGATCAGACCAGAAAGTGGTGAAAGAGTCAAATCTGGGATAGGTTTGGAAAAGCAGATAGGATCTGTTTAATGAGATTAGAGATGGTGAAATTAAGAAAGGAGTCAAGGAAGCCTGGAATGAGGGATGAACACACAAGGAACAGATTTATGATGGAAAATCATGAGTTTAGTTTGTCATATTAAAATGGAGATACTTATTACAAATTTAAACACAGATGTTGAGTAGGCAGCTGTTTTCTGGAGTTCAGAGAGGTCTGGGTTGGAGATACAAGTCTGGCAGTCTTCAGCACATAGGTGGTATTTAAATCATGGGAATGGATCTAGGAAAAAGTATAGATAGAGGGTCCAGAACTGAATCTTTGATAAATTCCATGAATTAGACATTTCCATCTCATACCTGATATTCTAATAATGAAACAATTGGTTTAATTTTTAAAACTATCACATTACACAGCAGTTCCTAAAGTCATCATGTACAGCTATAGACACAGCAATGAACTAAAAAGTTTATATCATACAAATCTCCTCAAAAAGAGAAAGACACGAGCTCCATTCATGATTATAGAGAAATACTAGGAATCCAAAACGTTTCCAAATATAATGGTGATACAATCCAGTGATTAAGTTCATGTTATACAGATCCAGGCTGTCTGGATTTGAATACTATACTTATTATCTACACTTATTATTTGTGTGACCCAGGACAAGGAACTTACTGTGCAGTTTCCTCAGTAATAAGTTAGAGATAATAGCTTTTGACTTGTTGTAAATGAAAACCTGAACTTTTGCACTAGAAAAGTTAGCTATCTTAGTATCACGGACGCTGTTATTTAAACAAAAGTTGGGAGTGAGAGACCCTGCAGTTAATCACACTATTATTTTCAACTATCTTAAAGAAGGACTTGGCAATTACCTACCTATCTGGATTTTAAAACAGGGACAAAACATGTCCCTAAATTCAATTCTCTTAACTAAGGGCTTGCAGCACCCAGTCCAGAGTTTAAAACAAAGCCAAACATCCCCCAATTCCTTGGCATCCAAAACAATCCTTGGAGGCAGAGGGGAAAAACAGAGTAACTAGCTAGTCCTAATTCACACATTAGAGTCAACATGACTGATAACAAGATCCACCTGTGATACAGGCTACCACGGCCCGCATCCTTCTTAACCAGTTACTTCTCTTCTTGTTTCTCTCCTAAAGAAAGAATGTGCTTTCTATCTCCTGTTCCCTAGCACCCAGGGCGACGTGGGGTCAGCCTGCTTTCGGTGGGCTGGGAAACGGCGACCTTCCCTCAGCTGGCCCCCACCCGGACCCTGTCCCCTGAGGGCAAAACAGCTACCCCTCCCCCATCTCCCTTCCCCTCGCGGGGCTCCGGGGCTCAGACTCGGGCCCCAAGTTCCGCCCGCCGCCCGCCCAGCCGGAGGCGGCCCCGGGGTCAGAAACAATGGGGCCGTGGCGGCGGCCGTACCTCTCCCGGTCGCGGCCGTCGAAGTAGACGAAATCACCGCTCTGGACGCACTTGGCGCAGGTCAGCCGCCGGCGGGTGGTGTTACACAAGGGACATCGCTCGACCGCCACGTACAGTCCCTCCGCGTCGTCCACCGAATCCTCCAGGTCTCGGGCGAGCGGCTGCGGCCCGCAGCCAGGAGCCTCCGGCGCCCAGGCTCCCTTCCCACTGGGAGACGCCATGATGGCCCGAGAGCAGAGCCAGTCACGTGGGATTTTGTTTTCAACCAGGTGCATCCTGGGCGAGGAGGAGGGGCCGGAGGCGGCACCGGGAGGGCGGGCAGGGGTCCGGGCGCGCCCTAGCCCAGCCTCCCGGTCCCTTCCTGCGGCCCGCAGCTTCCCCGCGCGATCGGCGTTGTTGCTTTTCCCCACTGCCGCCGGGCCTCTTGGCCCAAAGCCGGGCGAATTATACTAGAGGAGCGAGTCAGCCAAATAAAATGTCATCATTCGATCGATCATGCTAAAACTATAAGTTAATGCCCCAGACTTGTGCAAGAAATAGTAGTACGATGCTCTAAGGATTCTGGGGAAACGGACGGGAACAAAACAAGGGAATTTCTTTAATTCGCTATGAATGCTTTTAAATTTGGCTAAAACTACAGCAAAAAAAAAAAAAAAACGAGTGAGTGGGCTCAGGTTTGGAGAGAGCTTAATTTTGGCTCACCCACCTCCTTAATAGTTGTGTGATTTAGGGCAAATGCTTAAATGTGTTATCTGTTAAATGGAGATAATCACAGTACCTACCTAACACGTTAGAATTAAGAAGTAAACATGTTTAATGGCAATCTGATAGTAATTTACCGATAACGGCTAACTAGTGTAAACAGCCGTACTAAACGTGCAAATCAAAGTTGTATCTTTTTGAAAAGTGAATTTTAAATTAATGTCCAACGTTGCTCCTCTACTCTGGGCCATGCTGAGAAAGAATCTAAACTAGGTAAAATTTAACCTAGACAGGTAGATTACTCCAGATTTCTTTTTGTAGGAGTAAATAGGGTGGGTCGGAGGGCTGTTAGTAAATAATGTTTGAATATGCCTCTAAACCACAGAAGGAAAAAAAGAAAAGTGGGTTTATAGGTCAAATTATCTAGACCAGTGATTCTCAAGGATTATTTTGGTGGTCAGTTGATCGCCCTAAATCCTCTCTAGCTGGGACTTCTCTCCCAAGTTCCATACTCAAGGATTCACAACTGCCTACTAGCATAAAGTGACATACTGTAGCCACCATGAACTCAGCATTTCAGAAATTGAACTCTCCCACCCCACAAATGTTTCCTCAATTTGGTAAAAGATGTAACCACTGACCACTTGGACACAAGAGCTCCTCCCCTCCCTGTTAACCCTCACATCTCTATCAAATGCTGATGATGCTGAAGTAGGTCTTGAATCTGAATGCTTTGCTCTATCCACTTAGTCCTATCCTGACTATTTTAATACAATTACATAGTATCATAAAAGTCAAAAAAAGGAAAAACAAAAGCAAAAATTCCCCAAAATGTTTTCAAAATAGAATTTACACTAAACCTGAATGGTTCCTGTAAGCTTAAGATTTATTTTTAAGTGAGAAATAATTTTCTCTGATCATTTAAAACAAAAGGATATTTAGGGGTGGAGCCAAGATGGCAGCGTGAGTAGAGCAGCAGAAATCTCCCAAAACCACATATATCTATGAAAATATAACAAAGACAACTCTTCCTAGAATAAAGACCAGAGGACACAGGACAAAATCCAGACCACATACACACCTGCGAGAACCCAGTGCTCGCAAAGGGGGTAAGATACAAACCCCGGCCTGGTGGGACCTGAGAGCCCCTCCCCCCAGCTCCCCACAGGAGGAGAGGAGTCAGAGAGGGAGGGAGAGGGAGCCCAGGACTGCTGAACACCCAGCCCCAGCCATCCAGACCAGAGCCCAGACACAGTGCATGTGCAGGGCCCTGGATACTGCGGAAACAGGGCAGCAAGAACAGTGAGCAGGTAACGGAGGCCGGCACTGGAGGACAAAAGAAAAGTGAGTGGCCATTTTTTTGTTGTTGTTGTTGTTGTTTTGTTGTGGTGAGTGCGTTTTGGAAGTCTTAAAGGGACAGGGACCCCAATACTAGGGAAACAAGACAGCAAGACTGGCAAGCGGGTATCAGAGGCCGGAGCCAGAGAACAAAAGAAAAGTGAGTGGCCATTTTTTGTTGTTGTTGTTGTTTTGTTGTGGTGAGTACTTTTTGGAAGTATTAAAGGGACAGGGACCCCAATACTAGGGAAACAGGGCAGCAAGACCGGCGAGTGGGTATCAGAGGCCAGCGCTGGAGAACAAAAGAAAAGTGAGTGGCCATTTTTTTTTTTTTTGGTTGTTGTTGTTTTGTTATGGCAAGCGCTTTTTGGAAGTCTTAAAGGAATAGGGACTCCAATACTAGGGAAACAGGGCAGCAAGACAAGTGAGCAGGTGCCTGAGGCTGGCGCCAGAGAATAAAGAAAAACAAGCAGCCATTTTTTTTTTTTTTGTGGTCGTCGTTTCGTTTTGGCAGGTGCTTCTTGGAAGTCTTAAAGGGGCAGGGTGGGACACTTAGTCCAGAGGTAGGGAACTCAGAGATCTCTGGGCACTCTAATCCCCTGGGTTGCAGGGAACACGGAGGCCCCTTACGGAGATAAACAGCCTCCCTGCCACTCCCCGTCCAACGCGACTCCACCACTTTGGAGCAGCAGCCTGAGCCAGGCCACGCGCACAGTAACAGCGGAGATAAACTCCATAGCAGCCGGGCAGGAAGCAGAAGCCCTGTCTACGCACAGCTACCCAGCACAAGCCACTAGAGGTCGCTGTTCTCCAAGGAGAGAAAGGCCACAAACCAACAAGAAGAGAAGTTCTTCCAGCCCTCACTCATCCAAGCTCTGCAAACTAGTCCTATCACCATGAAAAGACAAAATTACAGGCAAACCAAGATCACAGAGACACCAGAGAAGGAGGCAGACCTAACCAGTCTTCCTGACAAAGAATTCAAAATAAAAACCATAAACATGCTGACAGACATGTAGAGAAATACGGAAGAGAAATGGGATGAAGTCCAAAGGGAGATCACAGATGCCAGAAAGGAGATTACAGAAATGAAACAAACTCTGGAAGGATTTATAAGCAGAATGGATAAGATGCAAGAGGCCATTGATGGAATTGAAACCAGAGAACAGGAACGCATAGAAGCTGACATAGAGAGAGATAAAAGGATCTGCAGGAATGAAACAATATTAAGAGAACTGTGTGACCAATCCAAAAGGAACAATATCCAGGTCAAGACAAAAAAATGTGGTGACTACAGTCACATTCTGACAAACACACACCCTAGAACAGTCTTCTAGTACTTGCGTTGTGTGGGCATATTTGTCTTTAGGCTCACAGGGCACAGTATGAAATATGGAATGTTATCTGTCTGTGTGCTACGAGCTTCACAACAAAACATGACCTTCATCAGCACCTGTGGGCTCTTCGCTCCCAACAAAAGGGCCTTCCTTTGATACGCTCATCTCTAGTTAACATCTTGATTCCCTCATATTGACTAACAGAGACAAAGTGGAGCTATTCTAAGGTTTTAAATGTCAGCATATGGGAAGGGATTATTAGAGAGAAAAATTGTACCACTGTCACCTGTAGAGTCTTAATGTTTCAGGGGATCTTTAATTATTTTTTTTAAATTTTTATTAAGGTATTATTGATATACACTCTTAGGAAGGTTTCACATGAAAAAACAATGTGGTTACTGCATTCACCCATATTAGGGGATCTTTAATTATAACATACTTCTCTAACAGTTAAAATGGATAAAAATATGAATTCAACATGGTCTCCACTCTTGAGAGTTATAAATCAGTCCCTCCTCACCTCACCAACCACCACCACTACTTCCACCTTCCAAGTTATGCAGGTAAGTTGTGCTAAGGGTTATGGACTGGCAGTACTTACATTTATATGGGGCTGTCAACTAATCAGGAAACTATTGTTTAATATTATTGGGTAGGAGGCAAGGAAATTAATGAAGAGAATATCAAAACTGTTGATTCGAAGAGAAATGGACAATAGCTTAAGTTTATAAACACTAAAACACTCTTCCTTGAGACTATAAAGCTGGAATAGAGGCTGGCTCACTAAGAGCAGAAATGACCTGTAAGAAGTAGTTATCTGTTCTAATTACAGAACTAATGAAAGAGAATTACCAAAAGGAGGATCACCAGATTTGAGAAGCAGGTAGAAATCAGGATTCAAAATCAAGGATGAGCTATAACAATAACTTTTAAAATGGAAAATAACAAGTGTTGATGTTATGAAGAAATCGGAACCCTCATACATTGCTGGTGGGGATGTAAAATGGCTCAGCTACTGTGGAAAACAGTTCAGCAGTTCCTCAAAAATGCTAAAATAAGCATTACAATATGACCCAGAAATTCCACCCTCTGGTATATACCACCCAAGCTGAAAATGGGTACCCAAACAAATAATGCTCACATAGACAATATTCATTGCAGCTCTCTTCACAAGAGCCAAAAAATAGAAACAACCCAAGTATCCATCAACAGATGAATGGATAAACAAATGTGATATCTACCTACAATGGAATATTATTCAGCTGTAAAATGTGGATGAACTTCAAAACATTATGCCAAGTGAAAGAAACTTCTTAATGATAAAGAATTTTATTTTGAGTAATGGAAATATTTTGGCACTAGATAGAGAAGGTGATTGTACAACATTGTGAACGTATTAAACACCACTGAATTGTTCACTTTAAAATGGTTAAGTTTAATCAAAACATCAATGACATTTTTTACAGAACTAGAGCAAACAGTCCTAAAATTTTTATTGAACTACAGAAGACCCCAGATAGCCAAAGCAATCTTGAGAAGGTAGAAAGCTGATGGTATCATACTCCCTGATTTCAAACTAACCTACAAAGGTATAGTAATCTAAAACAGTATGGTACTGGCATAAAAATAAACACATAGCTCAATGGAACAGAATAGAGGGCCCAGAAATAAACCCACATTTATATCATCAGTTTCTGACAAAGGAGGCAAGAATATACAATGGGGAAAAAGACACTCTCTTTGATAAATGGTGTTGAGAAAACTGGACAGCTACATGCAAGAGAATGAAACTTTACACCATTTAAAGACCTCTATGCAAGACCTGAAACCATAAAACTCCTAGAAGAAAACATAGGTAGTAAACTCAAACAACAGCATTAGTGATTTTTTTGTAGACATGTCTCCCCAGGCAAGGAAAGCAAAAGCAAAAATGAATAAGTGGGACTACATCAACACAAAAAGCTTCTGCACAGCAAAAGAAACCAACACAATGAAAAGGCAGCCTATCAAATGGAAGAAGATATTGGCAAATGATATATCCAATAAGCGATTGATATAAAAATATACAAAGAACTCATAAAACCAAATAATACTCATTAAAAAAACTCACAAAAACACCAAAAAAATAATCCAATTAAAAAAATGGCAGAGGACCTGAATAGACATTTTTTCCAAAGAAGACATACAGATGGACAACAGACACACGAAAAGATGCTCAACACCACTAATTCTCAGGGAAATGCCAATCAAAACCATA